CTTAACTCACGGTAAGACCACAAAATTTACTCACGACAAAGCAAAGAAAACGATTTGATCAGCGGTTGGTCAGCGGTTGTTAGTTGCATTTGAAATGGTACCTCGAGTAACAGTAACGCACTGCTCGCTCGGAAACCGCCATTTTTTGGAGGGTCCCCAATAGGTTTGGCGGGATGCGGGATTTGGCTTTTTTTCGCCGTGATATTTGGGATTTGAGCTGAAAACAGGGGCGGGAAGCGGGAATTACAAATATGAGCGGGAGAGGGATTTCGTGTTTTTATGGGGTTGGCATGTGGGATTCGCAACGGGAACAGAGCGGGATACGGGATTTCGATTCTTAAATGACCATATAAATTATTCTTGACCAGCGTAAAAACTACAAGCTGGCAGAGACGAACCTTTTGTGCGTATAGCTGTGTCAGGTTTCAAGTAATGAATAGCAACAGCTCTCTACCCTGTCAGGTTCTGTGAAACGTATCCATTATCGCTTGACTACGTTAGTATCATGAGACTGTATGACTGTATGAGGTCTTTGAGTCATTTGTGTTGACCTCTGAGATCTGTCCATTTCTGACATTTTCGACGCTTGTGTCAGTAATCTTGGCCCCCCGATCCTTTATATTTTGTCTAGTCTTTCAACCTTTTCCAGAACACTTGGCTTTTTTTGGCCAGGACGGCCTCACCGAATGGCTATGACAGTGGTTTACCGAGTGAAATATGCGACATTGTGATTTGCGTCAAAGGATGTGCAAGCAGTCACTCAGAAAGAAAAGTTCTGAGGCCGGATTTCAAGGAAAGTGAAGGCGTTTAAAGCTTTGAAAGAAACTGTCAAGTGTGTTAACAGGCCATCTTTTAAATATGGGAATGAACAATCATTTTCTTTCAATAATACGTGGACAAAAGAAAACAAAACAGTAAACTGTTAACAGAAAGAAACGTTATAATCATTTGGGCTTACTTATCAGCTAGCCATTGAATTCTTTTGTGATCTTTTATGCCATATCTATTTTAAAAAAGTTTCTGTGTTAATAATTAAATTAACAAATTAATAATTAACGCAGAAACGTCTTTGAAAAGCGGACGGGATCGGGATTTCCAGGCAAAAAAAGGCGGGATGACGGGACTAACAGGAAAAAGTGGGCGAGAAAGCGGGATCTGAGAAACCTATTGTGAACCCTCTTTTAGTGCAATGTCCCTTATCTCGAGCTCATGATGTTTTGCAGCGCTTGTGGATCGTTGGTCGATCAAAATGTCCACTTTTGCAAAGGCTCTGGTAAAGGTACGTTTCTTAATCTAAAGTATTCGTATTTGCACCTCTTTTAGTTGCGAATAACGATAGGCACGTGAGAAGTCGGACAAACTGCTCAGTCCGGCAGTAATTCACTGCCCTTTTACAGACCCTATTCATAAACGGTTGCCAATTAAAAATGACTTTGTTGGTATTAAAATTGGCCCAACTAACCTCGTGTGAAAGTAAAATTCTTTTGAATTATCAACTCAAAAACAATTTTGTTTTACCGTGAATTAATAGTGTTCTGCTGTGGGTTAATTTTGTTTTGCTGTCAGATAACATTGTCTTGCCGTGAGTAAAGTTTGCAGTGCCGTGACTTTTTGTTTTGCCGTGACAGTTGTGGACCACCGTAAAGCAAGCCAATGATGTGACTTTACCAGAACTGCTACATGACTGGCTTATGTAGGTTCAATGGAGGTTCATAAGGTTCATACCTGTCCACAGTCCAGCATAGCGATGAATGCCGACGAAGCCGCCCCGTGTGATGATAAAATGACGTTCGTTTGGCTTTAGACTTTCCAGTCCCTGGTAGGTGGCTTTACAGAGGTTGTCACTATACAAGCAGCGAAGTTTTGCAAATGGTACCTTGTCTTCAGCATCGCTAGCGTTTTCAGTCCTATGACGTAAATACAACACGAAATTTTTGGAAATCGTACTATTGCTCCGACAGTTCACAAGTCCTAAGCCATGCCCTATACTTGCAACTTACCTGGATTCTTCGTTATGACTAAGCATTAAATCCATGGGAAAAGATAACAATGGACAGTCTGGCTGATGAACGCTGGACTTCATCGCAGGTGTGGTCATATCTTGCCACACAAAATCCAACCCCCATTCCAACAGGTCACGGTACTGCTCGCCCCACCACTTCTGTACGTCCTTCCGTCCCAGGTCAGGATAGTGTCCCCATGTAAGGTGACCACCCCCATAGTTGACGTTTCCAATGTATGGGTCATGGGTGCCACTGCCATCTTCACGGGTATTCATTATAAAGATTCCGTCTTCTTTGCCGGTGTCCAAGGCTTTGTACGGGCTGTTCTTGCCATTTTCATCAACATTACAGCTGATTATGGGTGTGATGTTGATACTGCATTTGAAGCCCTGCTCATGCAAAGTATCAAAGATTTCTTTGGGGTTCGGGAAATTTTTCTCGCTATTCGTGAATGTGCGATAGTGATCCTGCAAATAGGGTATGCAATTAATCTCAATTAGTAATTTATTATTACTAACGCTACACTTAAATTGTTAGACTCAACTACAGCGGTTTTTAAATGGCCAATCAGGACACAGAGAACATCAAATGAGCAAACCAAGTGCATGCAGCCGTCACTAAGCTCCTGATGTAAAAAGTTCACCAAACAAAAAATTGGGCTTTTCACTATTGCTGTCAAGGTTGGCTCTTATTTAACTCGCCGGCGTCCACTCGGCGTGGTCGTAGGGACAGTTGTGTCAGCTAAGTGCTGGAGCTTGAAATGCAACGATAGATAAATGGGACAGACTTTTCCCTGGTGTAACACCGCCATACGTTTTCATTAGGTAAAATTGTTACCGGCATCGATGTTCGTGCGAAAAGGCAAGTCGGTGGCCTTGGGAAGTGGGAGTAGTGATTCTCACATGCCTAAGCATTAAGAAAATGTTATGAACAGCGATATTCATTAAGAGTAATTTAAAAGTGTGGCAAAGCTGAAAACACAACAGCTTTAATTTACGCTGCTGCCATTCACGTCTCAAGAAGGCTTAAGGCTGAAATCTATTTGTCGACCTGTCTTGTTGCCAAGGATTCCAAAAGTCCAGTCTCTCCCTTTTGGGATGAGGTCAATTGCCTTTATCAAATGTGCAGTGCAAAAAAAATTCTCTGTTGTTTCAGGCGAGTCTCGCTTGGCTCCAGTTACATGTAATCTTGATTTCGAGTTTGGATTGCCTTAGTTGATTGGCTACA